GGACAGGGTGCAGGGTGTGAGGGTCTGCTCTTGGCTTACTCATTGGCTCCAGACCTACACCAGCACAACTAGGGATGCAACTGCTGCCTGTCGGTGAGCTGCACTGCAGCTGGTGCTGCTGTGCTGCCGGTGCTTGCCAAGTCTCTCCTTATCCACATTCCTGTATTGGAACGTTAAAAATGAGCAGTGCTGACTGGCTAAACTCCAAAGCTATATACTAGTACAGCTGGGGCCCACCATAGACCATTAGGAGTGATGAGCCACTTGAGCTGCACTTTGCAGGGTCTGCATTCCCCATGCTTCTGCTCATAGCCTGTGTTTGGCAGAAGCCTATTCCAGGAGTCTGTAACTTCTTTGGCAGCAGTGTTTCTTTTTTATTATGTGGGGCAGAATCCTGTTTGTCCAAGTGTTTCAGGTAAACTCTTGTGGAGGAAAGTGTTGGTTGGGTTCTCCCACAATACAGAAATGGCGCCCAGGTCTCATTGTCAACTTGACCAATTTACGATAAAGGAACTATAAAGGAACATAGAAATTGGTTAAATTGGAGGGGTTCCTACAGACTAATACTGGAGTTCCAGCCCCAGCCATAGATATATTAATTGGCAAACAACCTGACACCCTAGTAACCATATGCACTCCAATCAGGCCATATGATTTAAAACCCATGTACAGCAGAACCCCTCTCTTCACACGTCTAGAAAAAACAGGGACTGTTGAGAGCTTTTATATTCAGCTACCTTTATTTTTATTAATTTTATTTTCTTTTAAGTTCTGGGATACAGGTGCAGGATGTGCAGGTTTGTTACATAGGTAAACCAGTGCCATGGTGGTTTGCTGCACCTATCAACCCATCACCTAGGTATTAAGCCCCACATCCATTAGCTACTTATCCTGATGCTCTCCCTCCTCCTGCCATCACCCCAAGAGCAGCCCCAGTGTGTGTTGTTCCCCTCCCTGTGTCCACGTGTTCTCATTGTTCAGCTCCCACTTATAAGTGAGAACATGAGGTGTTTGGTTTTCTGTTCCAGTATTAGTTTGCTGAGGATAATGACTTTGAGTTCCAGGATACAAAATCAATGTGCAAAAATCACAAGTATTCTTATACACCAATGGCAGACAAGCAGAGAGTCAAATCATGAATGAACTCCCATTCATAATTGCTGCAAAGAGAATAAAATACCTAGGAATACAACTAACAAGGAAAGTGAAGGACCTCTTCAAGGAGAACTAAAAATCACTGCTCAATGAAACCAGAGAGGACACAAACAAATGGAAAAACATTCCATGCTCATGGATAGGAAGAATCAATATCGTGAAAATGGCCAAAAGACCCAAAGTAATTTATAGATTTAATGCTATCCTCATCAAGCTACCATTGACTTTCTTCACAGAACTAGAAAAAAACTACTTTAAAATTAATGTGGAACCAAAAAAGAGCCCATATAGCCAAGACAATCCTAAGCAAAAAGAACAAAGCTGGAGGCATTACATTACCCTACTTCAAACTATACTACAAGTTTACAGTAACCAAAACAGCATGATACTGGTACAAAACCAGACACATAGACCAATGGAATAGAACAGAGATCTCAGAAATAAGACTGCACATCTATAGCCATCTGATCTTTGACAAACCTGACAAAAACAAGTAATGGGGAAAGGATTCCTTATTTAGTAAGTGTTGCTGGGAGAACTGGCTAGCCATATGCAGAAAATTGAAACTGAACCCCTTCTTCACATCTTACACAAAAATTAACTCAAGATGGATTAAAGACTTAAATGCAAAACCCAAAAGTAAAAAATAAATAAATAAATAAATAATAAAATAAAAAATAACCCTGGAAGAAAATCCAGGCAATACCATTCATAACATAGGCATAGGCAAAGATTTCATGACAAAAATGTCAAAAGCAATTACAACAAAAGCAAAAGTTGACAAATGGGATCTAATTAAAGAGCTTCTGCACAGCAAAAGGAACTATCATTAGAGCAAACAGGCAACCTACAGAGTGGGAGAAAATTTTTGCAATCTGTCTATCTGACAAAGGTCTAATATCCAGAATCTTCAAGGAACTTAAACAAATTTATAAGAAAAAAAAATGAACAACCCCATTAAAAAGTGGGCAAATGCCACTAACAAACACTTCTCAAAAGAAGACATTTATGTGGCCAAGAAACATGTGAAAACAGCTCAACATCACTGATCATTACAGAAATGCACATTAAAACCACAATGAGGTATGATCTCACACCTGTCAGAATGGTAATTATTAAAAAGTCAAGAAACAACAGATGCCGGCAAGGCTATGGAGAAATAGGAGTGCTTTTACACTGTTGGTGAGAATGTAAATTAGTTCCACCATTGTGGAAGACATTGTAGTGATTCATTAAAGACCTAGAACCAGAAATAGCATTTGACACAGCAATCTCATTACTGGGTATGTACCTAAAAGGATATAAATCATTCTATTATAAAGATACATGCATATGTATGTTCATTGCAGCACTATTCACAATAACAGAGACATGGAATCAACCCAAATGCCCATCAATGACAGACTGGATAGAGAAAATGTGGTACATATACACCATGGAATACTATGCCACTGTAAAAAGGAACAAGATCCTGTCCTTTGTAGGGACATTTAGCTGCCTTTAATTGAGACTTTGATTGTACCATTCAGATTCTGGCACTTTGGTCCAATTATAGCAGAATCCTGGATGCCAGCATCTTTGCTAGCGGTGCACCCACAAAGCCTTTGACTTAAAAGACAAGCAAATAAAGCTCCCAGGACCCAACATTGTATTCAAATTCTACGAATGACTCAGCCTCATTATAACACCATAGAGCCACAAAAATATGACCCACATCAACCCTAGTGGGTATCCATGTGGGAAGGATACCCTAGTCCCACACTGCCCTAGCTCAAGACCACGCCATTAAAGATGGCATGCCCCCGTCTCCCAACCAACTATGGGCAGTGCCAACTACACTGGCACATGGAATGTCTTGCCATTCATAGGAGACCAGAGGCTCTTGGTTTTCCAGTGGCTAGTTACACCGCTGACTTCTGTTTTAAAAAGCGAGACCCACAAAACTGGAAGGACTTTTCAGACTTTACAGACACCTATAAAACTGTAAGTTCTGCACCCTTTGATTGTAATTCCACTCTATACCAGGCTAAGCCCTTATGAGCCCAAGTCCAGTGCCTCCTTAATGCTTCTAAGATTCGGTTTCCTGCTAATCCCACCCACTTCTCCTGCCTAAAGGGTTATCTAACTGAAGTATCCACCCTGTGTGCTCTCCTAGGAGTAAAAGGAGCATCTGCTGGTCTCCCACTGTCAAACCATTCACTCCGTTCCATCGTCTTTCCCTTCCCTTTCTCATTGTCTGTATCCCTACTCCCACCCCCATCTCTTCTGTCCTAACAGCATCTTCACCTCTTGCCCTCTAAAAGACTACATGAGTAAAATTCAAATCCACTGCCCCAGTTTCTCTGATATTTATACGGGCATCCAAAATACAAACACATTTGACTGAAGTAGACTCTTCTGCAGTGACTATCTGTAACTCATCAGCCTGCTTCCACATATCCTACACCACACATTTACCCAACTGATAATTGCTCCAGAGATGAAAAATATTGAGAAATTAAAACCACTTCCAAACGGCCCCTTCTCCTGTATTGGGGTGCCCCCTCATGGCAAGTGGCAACTGCACTTGTGTTTTGTCAATACGTACCACAGGTGGGCTACCCAATGAACAACTGCATACTCTCACCATATGCCCAACAAAAGCCACTGTCTTCCTCCAGTCCCATTCTTTAGTAATTTCCCTTTACCTAAATCAAGGTACAGTTTTCCAGTCTAAAGGTAATGCCACAAAACTATATTGTGTCCCAACCAACAAAGGTGCTTATCCCCTCTACTTTGCCCTTCCATTACCCTGAAACTGGAAGCCATGAGATGCATTCTGACCTCTCTTGGCATTCCTATTTATATAAATGTTAATTATTCTTTCCCCATCCAGCCAAACGTCACTGATGTGCCACATTCGTACCTATAATACTGGGACTCACCCCTGCTCTAGGACTCACTGCGATGGCCACAAGGACCATTGCTTTAGTCCAACAGTCAAAAATAATTGATGCTACCCTACAAATGTCCAAAACTCTAGTATATCATATTTCTAAATTACAGCAAATATTAGTCCTGCTAGGCTGGGGAGCTTTGGCAAAAATGTTTTTTGACAGTAAATTTGTCCTTGATTATATATTAACTAGTCAAAGAGGTGCTTGTAACATTATTAGAGCTTCTTGTTGTAGGTGGGTTAACACCACCAATCAAGAGGTCACTAACAGAAAGCCTGGATCACAAAACCATCATCCTAAAGAAAACATGCCTTACATGTTTAACGCACTCTGAAATTCAGTCAAAATATGACTAAAGGCCCTTGCCAAGACTGATGTATTCTCCTGGCCAACACCAAACAAATGGGAGCCTGGTTACAAGTCAGCCTTCCGGGACTTGTCACATTTCTACTTGGTTTCTTCCTTGTTACTGTCATAATAAAATGTTTTCCATGCTGTTTAGTGCAACTCAGGCCCTATTCTGTAGAAGTCTCCTCTACTGTTCAGGCCACTCAAATACCCCAAATAATTGAGTTCAAAATCAACATCAAGATAGAAAGGAATCAGTGACTAAATACATTTCATATATGGTATTTTTATTGATTATGGTGCTGTCTTGACCTAGTTTTGAGGCCTCGGCTAGAGGCTGGTCAGTTTCCTTTCTTGAGCAGCCGATTAAATCCACACCCCAACCACTTCCCTTATCAGGTTCTCACACTCTGGGGCCACTATGTACCCACTCTAATCACCACAGGGCCAGACATCAGATAATTAAAGACAGCGCCCATGCCCCAAAGCCTGCCAAAATTGTGCAAATTTTCAAAATTATTCAACCTAGCTAACCCCACCCTTTTTGCTATACATAAGCTGCCCTTTCCCCCTCCAGCTTGTGGTATCCAGTCCTCAAGTGCAACCCCCTGCGTGGTCCTCTGTGGCAGCCTTCTCTCATTCGGAAGTGTAAGTAACAAAGACTTCTGCCTTTCATCTGGCTAAGCATTGAAGTGTTTTGTCTGACTGCCGAAAGAATCTTTAAATCTTATAAAACACAGTCCTACCTACATCTTAATTACTATTCAACGAATGAAAGCTGCAAAGTTTAAAAAACCCTTATAGTTTTTCTAAACCTTCTATATTTATCAAGCAGATCTCTGGAAATCTGGAAATTTGAAAAGGATAATATAATATTCTGGCCTCTCTTTTTTTTTTTTTTTTTTTTTTGAGACAAAGTCTCACTTGGCCGCCTATACTAGAGTGCAGTGGCACCATCTCTGCTAACTACAACCTCTGCCTCCTGGGTTCAAATGATTCTCCTGCCTCAGCCTCCCAAGTAGCTGGGATTACAGGCGTGTGCCACCACACCTGGCTAATTATTGTATTTTTAGTAGAGAGGGGGTTTCACTATGTTTGCAAGGCTGGTTTCGAACTCCTGACCTCAGGTGATCTGCCCTCCTCAGCCTGCCATAGGGCTGGGATTACAGGCATGAGCCACTGCGCCCGGCCAATATAAATTACCATTTAAATTTATTCCATGACTAATCTTCAATTTGAGGTTAATTCCCCTAAACAATTAATGCAATTGATAGATTTGGTTAATTAAGTTCTTTTAAATATCATATATTATATCAATTACAAATTTAGTCTGCCTGAATCTCGCAAACATTTCAAATGCCTGACACATTAGTATCTTTTATACATCTTGCAAGTTTAAAAAAGGAGGGAGGGGGTTCTAATAATTAAAGCAATTCCAGTAAAAGTAATAAATCAAATGTATGCAGTAGTAAGTTATGTTCTCTTAAACATTCAAACACTGCATATAGACTGAAGAAAATGCTCTTGTACTTTAAAATTAAAATTATACGGTTCATATAACTGATTTTCTAATATTATCAGGTTCTATCAAATGCTTCAAGCAACTTAACAATCTATCATAGGTTATCCCAATGATTAAATTATTAAATTTCTAAAGTTAATACAAATATGTTAATATTGTAGATTTGACTAACTTCAACATTCTTATAGTTATTTCTTTCTTCTCCCAGTATTTTAAAGCCACTTATGCAAATAAAGAGAATAGACAGATGTATGATCTGACTGGGCCAAGGATACTGTATCAGAGAATCAAGTCTGGGATTGAAGTGTCAGTTAAAGAATTTGAGAGAGGGGCAGGGACATAATTAGGTACCACAATCTGCTGGACATCTCCTTGAGGTAACAGAGCTTTCCAAACTCACACCGGTTCATGCAGTCTGGTATATCATGTGTACCCTTACCTAGTTTTATTTATTTATTGTTTTATTTATTTATTTATTTTTGAGACAGTGTCTCACTCTGTAGGCAGGCTGGAGTGCAGTGGTGCGATCTCGGCTCACTGCAACCTCTGCCTCCCGGGTTCAAGTGATTCTCTTGCCTCAGTCTCCCGAGTAGCTGGGACTACAGGTGTGTGCCACCACACTCGGCTAGTTTTTATATTTTTAGTAGAGACAGGGTTTCACCATGTTGGCCAGGATGGTCTCTATCTCTTGACCTCTGATGATCTGCCCGCCTCAGCTTCCCAAAGTGCTGGGATTACAGTCGTGAGCCACCACGCCCAGCCCCCTTACCCGATTTTTAAAGTTACCTCTTTTACAACTTTTTTGTTTTTTTGAGACAGAATCTCACTCTGTCACCCAGGCTGGAGTGTAGTGGCGTGGTCTCTGCTCACTACAACCTCTGCCCTCCGGTTCAAGCAATTCTTGTGTCCCAGCCTCCCAAGTAGCTGGGATTACAAGTATGAGTCACCATGCCCGGCCAATTTTTGTATTTTTAGTAGAGAAGGGGTTTCACCATGTTGGCCAGGCTGGTCCAGAACTCCTGACCTCAAGCAATCTGCCAGCCTGGACCTTCCAAAGTACTGGGATTAAAGGCATGAGCCACCATGCCCGGCTTCTTTTATAGCTTATAATTGTGTAATTTGATAGGTAAAATTCCCTCTACAGGATATTATTTACTACTCGACTGAATTTAATGTCTTTATTGCCTGATTGGAGTCAACTTGCTTTTTACATGTTTTATACCCAGTTCAATATCAATAATCCTATTGTCATTTTATTGACTATTCCTTACGTGATTAACACTATCTACTGAATACTGTATCTTAGAATATTACCTACATTTGCATCAAGCTCATGATCTATAACTCACCTACATCCACCGTTCTAGTTTTGAAATTTGGGATAGCACATGCCAGGATATAGTTGTTCTGCCTGAGTCTTCGCTGCACCTCGAGTTATTCTGAGTTTCATCCATCTTATCTGAACATCTTCTGTGCTCTGGATTTTATTCCTCTCCAAGAGACACAAACTCATTTAGAGCATGTAGATCTTCCCTTGGGATGTTTCTATGTATTTTATTCCTTGTTTCTATCATGCCAACATTTGTTCGAAGGTTTCTATTTGTTCTAACTTTTTTTTCAAAAGAAAAGGAAAAAAACAGGACTTTTATGGCACCACTGGTCAGTGTAGGGCAGGTGGGTGGGACACAGCATTAGATGTGCTAGTTGGGCAGAGCTGTGCTGTTACTTTTCTGAAAGGGGTAACAAAATACATAAAATAAAACAGTGCAATGCCAGGACAGGCCAGCATGAGATAGGTGAGTTCTTCCCTCCCTAGCCTTCCTTCCAGGTTGTTTTATGTGTCTTTCCTTAATGTGTCCTTACTGTCTAATTAGGTTTCTCTCATTGCCCTTATCTTAATGTTTTACAATTATCTAAGGTGGAATAGCACAGTGGAGAGAAGCAAACATGTTAGAGTGAGACAGACTTAGGCAGAGGGGGCAATATTGTAAAAATAATGATGCTTAAGCTGCAAGACCATTCATTGGCTTGATTTACTTCCAAGATCCCAGAAGGGCACAAGAAATGTTTTATATAAAATTTGCAAAAGATATTTAACCACAATCAGTCAACCCCATTATCATTTTACTACAACTGTTCGGCATCATATTTCCTGTATCAGGTGTTGTTGGAGAGGCTGCGGGCATTTTTGAGACCAAAAGGGAGGATGTTGAATTGAGAATAATTTTAGTTTGGCTTTAGTGGGACATATTTATGTGGGTATCAGTCATTTCTGTATATTGATAATTTATTGCTAGCCATTCAGGGTAGCACCCACTATGCCAAAACAAATATGCAGGGCCAGAAGTCACATCGAAAACTGAAAGTGTGCTTCTTAATGGCTCCCAGGTTCAGAAATTTGTAGGTTATTGAAGAGAAACAGATGGTGAAATGCACAGAGGCAGAGCAAATCCAGGGAAAAAAATTTCAACCATCCAATGTGTAAAACTGTAAGCAGAGAATTCCTTTTTAGAATTTGACCAGAAAACCTAGTTAAGACAGGTTCTCTCAGGAATGTATCTGATAATGTCTTATGTACAATTAAAACCACATAATACGTTACAAAATTTTTTTGATGAATATAGTGCAAAATTAAAGAATCCTGTGTATTAAGACACAAACCTATAGCAGTACTTCAAATGTGTGTGAAGTTTTATGAATCCCAGTATTAATAAGAACAAACACAAATTTTAATCAACCATGCTTGAAATAAGACTGAAATATCTTTCTATTCTCTCTACAGAAAATAATATAAAATTTTTGTCATATGAAGAGATAATTCAGAATCATGAGATTTAAATATAGATAAAAACTATTAGAGAATTGTGTCTGGCGGTGGCTGAATATAAATTTTTTTTTATTTTGTGATATTTTTGATATTTAACTTTGTAAAATATTTGATTTATTATAAATCATTTTCTTGTTCTAAAAAGATATTCACTTTAGTCACTAATTTTTATTATTAATTTTGTATTCTTCTTGTGGTGAAGTTAAATTTACTACTTTAAACATTTTAAGGTATATAGGTCCGTGGCAGTAAGTACATTGACATTGCTGTGCAACCCCCATCGCGCTTCATCTCCATAACTTTCTCATCTTTCCAAACTGAAACTCCATATTCATTAAACAATAACACGCCACTCCTTCCTCCCCCGAGCTCTGGCAACAATTACACTATTTTCTAACTCTATAAATTTGACTATTCTAGGTATCACATATAAGTGGAATCACACAGTATTTGTCCTTTTGTATCTGGCTTACTTCACTTAGCATAGTATCTTCAATCTTCATCCATATTGTAGCATGTATCATTTCTTTTTAAGGCTGAATAATATTTCCTTGTATGAACAGTAGTCCCCCTTATCTGCGAGGATACTTTACAATACCTGAAACCATAGATAGTACCGAATCCTATAAACACTATGTTTTTTTCCTTATATAAACACACCTATGACAAAGTTTAAATTATAAATTAGGAATAGGAAGAGATTAACAACAATAATAATAAAATAGAACAACTATCACAATATTTCATAATAAAAGTTATGTGAATGTGGTCTCTCTCTCTCAAAATATCACATTGTACTGTACTCACTCTTCTTGTGATGGGAGATGTTGCAATGCCTCTGTGATGAGATGACAGGAAGTGAATGATGTAAGCATTGTGATGTAGCCATAGCCTTTTAACCTTCTGTGTTCCTGAATTGGTGTAACCAGCCCTTACTTGTAGTAAGCGGCTTGGTGTCACTCATTTCTTGCTTGCTGAAGTCTTCACAGATGCTCAGTGCTTTCTCGTGCAACAAGTTGTTATCAGAACATGTTTTCTATTCATGTCTTCCACCCACACATTTAGTGCCTTTTCCATCTTAACTAAACACCCAGCATGTACCATAGCTGTAACTTTTACAGTTTCAGTTGCAACAGCAACACTAGCACGAATTTCTTTTTCCTCCTTCACAATTGCCTGGATAGAAGATTTGATTTTACCATAGATCTTAGCAACTTCAGTATACGACTTTTTTCCTTTCCTTATTAAGTCAAGAGCTTTCACATTTTCACTTAAAGGGAGGACTGGTGGCTTCTCTTT